CAAAAGAATATAAAATTTGGAAGAAAAATTATAATTCAGTGTGGACCAATTTAACAAGATTCTTAGAAAAAGATGTGTGCAAATGAAAAAAGCTTGACAAAATTTTGCAGTATAACAGCTTTTGCAACACCCATGTGTATCTGCACAAAAATACTCAAATCGTTCTATGTAGTCACAATCCTGGCTAGAAACCTGTAGTTTGATGTAAGGATATGATCGGGAGAAGTTTTATGTTGATCACTTCTGGGAGTTAAAGTGTTAAGCCTACAATGACTTCAAATCTTTGATACAAACCTCAAAAGGAGAATCACAAATAAATTTCAAGTTTCTGTTTTTCTTGTTTGGGTTAGTCAGGTAATATTGAGTCAAACTTTCTTGTGATGCCACCATCAATTCATTTTTACAACTTATTTATAAATGTGGGCCTAGCTAAAATGAAAAACTTAACATACACATTAAATCAGGTTTATACCCATAAAGGGAAACTTGCCTTCATTAAAAGGAAAATAATACACATTTCTAAACAAAGGTCAAAAGTGTTTTCCACAATTAGAAGCAAGTGTCAAATAACAAATGATTGAAAGCTGTCAATCTCGTCATCAGAAGAATGTTGTTAACTATTGTAAGGCAATATTTTACGGGTAGTCAAATTTCTAAAATCCCATCAGATTATCTTGCTAAACACCTGATATAGAAAAAAAAACTAGTGGAACTTGAGTAATTTAGGAAAATGCTCCAAAAAGATAAAAAATTCGCTAGTTAGATTTTTAAAAACTATTTTTGGGGCTGGGCAATGGTAAATCTTATTTGTAAACAAAATATTAGGGTAGGTCAGCAAGCTAACTTTCGAGATACTTACTCATTAATATAGCCAGCTTTACTTCAGGTGTTCACAATTCAGCTCACAGTTTTATGGCCAGTGGTGTGTTTTAAATAATATCCCTGACTCAGTGGCTCAGTTTGCAAGGAAAATTCCAGGTGATGGCCACAGATAAGAACAAAGTATTCCTTCTCTTGTTGTCAGTCAGTAAACGACAAATTTGTCATTTGGAATTCGCAATGGAGGAGAAAAGATAAGTTTTCTGAGGACTTTGACATCTTACAGAGTGTCAAAAGAAAAGAGCATACTAAATCGAAAAAAAGCAAAATTTTGCACTCATGGTTTGAGGAAGAACTTAACTTTTTGTTGGAGGAAATTCTTGGTGACCAGTCCGACTTGTTTGGGCGAAGCTGATAATATCTAGCTGATGTCGAGGGTGCATTAACTCCTTCAAGTAGTTTTTGTCCAAATTTGGAATAGGGATCTCAAAGAATTGAAATAGCTAGTCTGCCATCTGCAGGCCAACTAATGATACTTCAAAGAGCCTTCAAAGAGCCACTCAGGTGATAAAGGTTTTCAAAGAAGGAGTCAACAACTTATCATCATTGCTCAGCAAATGTTTTCTGTTGCAGCATTTCATTTGCTGATTATGTTTTTGAGCTTGAGTAAAGAAGAAAACAAAAAAATGTCTCGGTGAATTACTTCTGATGATTTAACAACTACATTGACATTTTCTCTTCTCTGTGTCTGACTTCTGTGTACAAGTGAATGGTACTGTATGAATTTTGTGCAATACTTTTCGCACATTAAACAAACAAACAATCAAAAATGTGTAGCATGAAGTTGAAAATCGGTACATACAAGATTCTGCCATCTTTCTTCCTTTGCGTGGTATTTGAACATCGTATTATAAACTCTACCTGTCTCTTTGCCTGAGTTGTTTTATTTGTCGAGCTTTCCCTTTGCTCAACACCCTATTTATTACAGAAATCATTCAGCTTTTAAAAACAAATAAGCAAAGCAATTTTCATATGATTTGCAACCACCTTTCTTGTTTAAAACTCATGCCATGAAATTTCCTGTAAAAGACTGTGCAGGGGATGCATTAAGAGTGTGTCCACGAGAGCACCGGGCAGTCGTGCTACATGCCATCTCACCGATTCCAATGAAACTTTGCAAGTTTAAAGGGTCTACCCCAAAACTCAAAAAGACAAACTGGTTTCTGTTTTGGTTTTTACCGGGGGGAGATAGAACACCCCCCGGTTTTTCTTGGTTTTCACTAAGGAAATCGCTTCGAAATAGGTAAAATGTATGAAGCTCTCACTGCGATGGTATTTAACCAATTACTCTGAGGGTTTGCACACATATTTTTACATCCTTTGTTTATGTCCGCCGCATCAGTCAATTTGATTGACGGCTTGTCAATCAACAGAGGCAAATATACGACAGTGTTATTAGACTTTTCGATTCATCCAAATATTTGACAACTTTGAGGTCAAATATCTCCCGTTGCCAGAAAGCTACAACACTAATCTTAATTACCCTTTATAACCCATTATTTCATCTCTGAAAGTCATCAAAAAAAATCTCTGGGCGCCAATATATTTTGTCTTGGATGCCTTTTAAAATCTGCGACTGTGACAAGTTTCTCTCAACTACACCTGTCACACAATTCTTGCTCTGAGCAGTCACTTGACCAAATAAACCTACATTTACAAGATGATTGATCAAGATAGCTAAAAGATGTGAAAAACTTTCAAGATTTTTGTAGGAATGGAAAATTTCAAGTTTAAAGAGATGCATGTAGGCGAAAAATCAACGGGAAAATCGTCGCGTTTCTGTCTTCTGTCATTTATTACTTTGAAGATTTGCTAAAATCAGGAGATAGGGCTCTTGCACATAACATTCATTAGCCTATAAAGTGATCGTCTATTATCATTATCGCATAGTTTATAATAGGGAAACTGTAACAGGAGAGGAGATTTTAAAGTTACATGTCGCGTGCTTGTTGACGTACAAGTTCCCTAGTGTAGCAACTTCGGCTTTTCCATACCGCGAATGACGGGAAACTCTGCCCCCCCCTTATTTGATAGGAAATATCAGTAGCCCCATAAATTCATTAAGTGCACCATGTTTCCAGAAAATAAGACTGGAAAATGTTTTTTCCACTTTCCACCGTCAGGAAATTCCACGTATAGAAATAGTATTTGTGGTGTGACTGCGTGACCTTTCACGAGAAGTAAAAATTGTTTATCCTTTTTTTTCAAGATGACACTTCTAGAAAGTTCTTAATCCTTCTGTTATCTTATCTTCCTGTTTTTTGACTGCAAATACCATCTGCATTGCTCTTATTTTCGCTGATTGTTATGGCCTTTCCTGCGTGCACGTGCGAGCCAGTTTAAATACAGCACTCTTTCAAGTTTCTCTGGGTGGTGTCGGGCTTAGGTGTGTAGGTCTGGCTCAAAAGATATCTGCGCGCTGCAACACGGGTTCCTATGTTTTCTCATTTTTCTTTATTTGTATTTTTATTCTCTTCCGTGCATTATTACACATTTATGTTTTTTTTATTCCCTCAGCGTGTTCCCTCAGATTTGAAAGTAGGCTATGAAAACTTGATATTGACCAGAACTGAAACCCTTTTCTATCACTATTTGTTTCAGAGAACCCCCGTTATTTATAACCTTATTTCTCAAGAGAATATGTTTTTATTTGCTATTTATTTCCATTAGAACATGAAACTAGGTCCTGATAAGTTTTTTTGTTTCGTGACTCCCAAAAACTGTGTTTGCGACAGCATCAACTGAGAAATCAAAGGCAATTACGCCTGAGAAATTTGCTTGTAACCTTCTACCCGCAAAAGGCAAATCCAAATGATGAAACGTTCTAAGACCTCTGTAAACTGGAGACATTGCGTGATGTTGAGGGGTCAAATATTTACACTAAATCTGTGACGCTCAAACGAATCACGTACACATGTAACGTCCGGAAAATGTCACGCATGTATAACACCGTAGGCGCACCTGACGAATTCTATCCACTGGCTTCAATCAGGCCTGGGCTTCAAAAGTAAAGAAACAACTTATTTCCCATTTGTTCATGAGCAAGCTTATTTACCCTACTTGAAAAAATCCTTGATGAAGTCTACTATTGTCAGACGAAACGCGTGGGAGATAAATACAAGTCAGGCTGCCGTATTTTTCAATGGTTATAATTAATATAAGGTTGAAAGTTTGAAAGCTGATCATAACTAAATACATTACAGGGTTGAAAGTTTGAAAGCTGAAATACATTACAGTCACCTGCTATAATCACTTACATATAGTGCGAGGTGATTGAAGCGTGAGAGCTAAATTTCAAAATGGCTGCCTCGCCTTTCGTCGATGTTTGTGAGGAAGTGATAAAGTGATAATTCATTCCCCTATCTCTATATATAGCACCTTCTACAAATTTTGTATTTTTACTTTTCAACTAAAAAAAAAACCCTCGTGAAAATGTTAATTATCTCACTCGTTACTCACGACTGTTCAATCATTATCTTGAATACCAAACTAACCTCAGGAAAAGCAAAACCTTTTGCTCCAAGGGTTTCAGACAAGCTTCTGTCAGTTCGTGATGCAACCTCCTTGCAGAGTCAAAATCAGCCAGTTTGGCTCGCGAACCTTCTGCAGCAAATTCTGACTCAAGGGTAAGGGAGCGCATCAAGGCTAATGGGAGCGCCTAGTCGGCAGCATACTTAAAACGCTCTCTAACTTTCGGGTTTTATTTTCGTTATTTACTGCTTCTTCTGATTTAACGTTATTCACCTATCGTGGATTATGTCATTAACTAGTTTATCGATGGCCCTCGTGTACTCTCGAACTGCTTTCAACGCTATTTTATCGAATCTCACGCCTCAGCGATTAAAGCCTTCTTCGTGGACGACGCTTGTACAGCTACAAATAGCAAGAACATCACCCACTCGCCGTGGCTGCTGTAGCGGTAAAAGAAAACAATAATCACCTGCCTTACTCAATAGAAATTCTGAGCTGGATGGAATTTATACAAACAATTTCCAAAATCATTTAACTGACGACAGTCGCGAAATATGTAATTTGCATATCAACGAAATAAATACAAACAATTCAATTCGTTCAATACGAACTATACAAAGTAACACCTTAACAACGCCATCTTCTCACAAGACCGAGTTTGCTCCAAGTGTCCTGTTCTATTGACAAACGTCGTGTCTTTGGTCCCAAAGATCGACAAAATTAGTATCCTAATATCCCAAAAGAACTTTGATTACATCTTCTTTACGGAGACCTGGTTACGAGAATCCGTTGGAGACAATCACTTGACACTAAACAACTGCAATCTTCTTCGGCGTGATCGCTCCCCAAGGTACACATGGAGGAGTTTGCATGTATATAAAAGAATCTATCAAGACCAGGAGACTACAAGAGCTTGAAGATCCCGCCTTCGAAGTCCTATTGCCCTACATCAGACCCCCAAGATTACCAGTAGGGATTAACTGCGTCGTCACCGCATGTGTTTACCACCCACCTAGTTCTAACGATACTGGAATCTTGGAGTACTTGTCCGATGCCATCACGCGTGCTGAAGGTCTATTTCTTGCTTGCGGTATTATTATCGCCGGCGACTTTAACCAATTGGACACAAAACATCTTTGTCGAGATTTCCGCCTAAAACAACTTGTCCACCAACCAAACCGCGGTGCTAACATTCTGGATCTAGCGCTCACCAACATGCATAATTTCTATGATTCAAAACCAGTCGTACTTTTACCACCCTTTGGCCTATACGACCATAATGCTGTTGCAGTTTGGCCGAAAACTAGAGCATCTTCTAGTACTCCAAGCATGAAAATAGTCATTAAAAGAGACACCTGCCCATCGCGTAAAATGAAACTTGGTCGATACCTATCCGAAATCGATTAGCAGCTGATTGAATCGGAAACGTCGTGCGACGAGAAATGCAAGTTTCTGTGTGCTCTGTAATCATGACTGGCTACAACATTCTCATGCCAGAGAAACGAGTGAAGATTCACCGGAATGATCCCCCGTGGATATCGGAAGAACTGAAGCACTTAATAACCTTGCGCCAACGTGCTTTTTCCTCTGGGAACAATGTTATGTTCAAATTCTATCGGAACAAGGTCAACAGAACGAAGAAATCCTGCCGAGGGAAGTATTTTGCCTCCAAATTTATCAAGCTTAAACAGACGAACCAAAAGACCTGGGGGTCTGAAGTAAAACCTTCAAGTGGTATGACATCTGCTCCTAACGAACTCTTCAATCAACTTCATATTGACAACACCCAAGATCTGTCATCTAAAGACTTTGCAGATTTAATTAACAACAGTCTGATCGCACCAATGAGAGCCTACAATCCACTGGATACATCAAACATTTCTACCCTTCTTGATGAAATCCATGAGTACCCAAATCTTAACACCAACTTGGCTGACACTGACCTGCTCTGTGTTAAAGAAGTGAAAAAACCTCAACCCGTCCAAAGCACTAGGCCCTCATGGCATTGACAATAGGATCCTGAAAGAATACGCACATCCTATCACGCACCTACTCAACGTCTCGTAGAAAGAACAGAAGCTACTCCGAGAATGGAAACAAGCCAACATAACACCAGTTCCTAAGGAGAAAACCGGTTTCCAACATCAGCAAGCATTTAAGAGCAATTTCGCTCACCCCTGCTTTATCTAAACTAGCTGAGGACTTCTTAGTTGAAAAGCCCATCGCCCCTGCTGTTTTGAAGATAATCGATCCATCTCAGTTTGGCGGTACTCCTCGTTCATCCGCAACCCATACGCTCTTCTCGATGGTACGTTCTTGGGCTGAGGCAACCGACGGACCAGGAAGCGCAGTCAGAGTCAGAGTTGCCCTATTTGACTATCGCAAGGCTTTCGACCTCATAGACCATCACATCCTAGCTAAGAAGGTCTCTCTCTTTTCCATGCCTCTCTTTGTCAAGCGCTGGGTGATCGACTTTCTCATGAAAAGACAACAGCGAGTAAAGCTAACTAGAGACTATCTCTCCGAATGGGCTGATATCCCGTCAGGTGTGCCGCAGGGAATAAAGGTGTTACTTTACTGGGTGTTGCGCGCGCAACTTTTGATAGAGATTTTATTTATTCAGCTGACACGTTCTTTTCAGTTATGGCGCGTGCAAGTTTTTTTCAACAAAAGTCGCGCGCAACACACCGGGATTGAAAATTCGTCGTAAATCGCACGAACCTTAGAATGAGTGTAGGCAATTTGACTTCTGGCGAGATGAAGTGGATGGTTCAAAGGACCCCCTGAGATTTTTTTTCAGGGCTATAACTGAAATTTGTTTATAACTATGATAATCGTCATTATTAGCGGACGGTGCTTTTTAACCATTAGAGTGATTTAGCAAGAGGACGGAAACGTCACTTCAAAACGGGAAAGCGCGTGGATAGTCTGGACACGACTCTATTTCGACTTCCGGAGTTTAAGTTGCCGTTCTCCCCAACAAGTTCAGGACGCCTTTTCGCTGGTTTTACCGTCGCGATCAAAACGCCTGGGATTTACGTAAATTTTGCGCCTATAAACGAGATAATGCTGTTTGGAATTATTTCAGGAATTATTGCAGAACTCATTTCCAGGATAACCTGGTCCCTTCCTTTGGTTATTCCATGTATTTTGAGAAAATTTACCGCTTCATTTATGCTGAATTCCCGAAAGGAAACACAATCGTTGGCAAACTTCGAATCCAAGATTTTAGGGCTTAGTACACATGTAATTGAGCAAGGCTTAAAACAGTGAAAGGCCTGTGCTTTGATACATTTCTTTAATCCTGTATGAAACTCCAAGAATGGGACGCTGTTAATTTTATCATGAATCAATTCATCAATAAATTAAACTTGCTTCATGTTGAAGTGTATCAAAATGAAATATCACGGCGCTTACCTACTGTATTATTCGGTGTTATTTGTTGTTATTGTCGTTTTTACCATGATCGGAAACTTTTCTGCGAATTGAAGTCAGAGATGAAAAAAAATTGAGAATAGCTCAGGTATGCACTTTTTTTATGTTTGAAATTTTTGATCAGCGCTGGTGAAAACCAAGACAAAAGAGTCATGCTCTCGCTTCGAAATAAAATGACAATCAACTTGATCTCAGCACAGCTTTCTAAATCTATTAATTTGATTCAGTCTTGAACGACTTCATTCGTTTAAAAAAAAATTAAATTAGAAAAGAACGAAAAAAAAAAACGGGAACGAAGTCTTATTCCTAAGTCAAACCGTTTCGTTGGTGACTAGTTTGAGTCAATTTCATTCTTTCACGGATAAATAGGAACTCATCGTAAACAACTCCATCGTTGGGTCGCTTGGTTTCTACATGGTTTCGCCATAACTCCTGATAATTCCGTTCAAAATGCATTTCAACTCTAAGAAGGCGTGCTCAAAAGAGATGTACTGTCATGACTGCGAAGAATATTCAAGGGGAGAAACGACGACGATTTCCAAATTATCCTTTACAAAATTATGTAGAAAAAAACGAGTAGTGCTGAAATCTAGTAGCACGAAACGAAATGACAGCGACATAAATCATAGAAAAAAAACTATTTAGTGGGCTTCAAAATCTGATAGATGAATCCACAAACTCGAGACTAAACTGCAATGGAATAGTTTCCAAGTTTAATCGCCCATGTGGATTCCTATGAACAACTTACTTGCCGTATCTATAACTATCCTCTGTTGGCGCTTGTTACATAACTCTCAAAGAAGATAATTTCGTTGTCCTTAAAGTGGTACATAAAACCGAAAATTCAAAGGTGATGGTGATCTTTAAAAAGCCGAGGTGAGGATTCTCGTTGCAACGACTGCTAAATCACTTTTCAACACAACGCGACGGCGTTCTCGACCCAGTTTCTTATCGACATTTTTGCTGCGCGCACCGTTCTGAAATGATGTTCCCGTCCTCTTGCTAAACCATTCTATTGTTGTCCTCATATCGTTATCACGCCGGAAGAAGTATAAAGCCGACACGTTGCCTTACCTAACTACACAGAAAATTGTTCTCTCTTTTGCTCCCCTTGCATCCTGGAAACTGTTACTTTTAAGACGATCAGTAAGAAAGCCTTAAGAATTACTGAAAATTTTGATTAATAAAATGTGAAGAAAAAAAATGGGTAGGAAGAGTAATTCGCATATCTTGTAATCTGTACGATAGTTTTCACTTGTTCAAAATTTGAATTTGATCGGTTTTCGCGTGTGTTACTTAAGTGAACGGATAAGATTCGTTCAAGTCTTCTTGTTTGCCTGATTGAAACGTGATGTTCACGAAAGTCGTCTCGTTAGATAAGATAGAGCTAATATGCATGGCTGTGGTATTTGTTTTATGCTGAGTTCCGTAGTTTTTTTGTAAATTGTCCTCCAAAGTTGTCCTAAATGAAAGTCTTGAAAAGCTTCACGACAAGCCTTGGCCCAAGTGAAATTTAATTTCCGTAAAACTCTGAAAAATAAAGAGATCCGATCAAACGGATTGTGGTTTTATATGGGTACATGAATGTCTTATAATACACAAGAAATGAGCGAAATCTGTGTATAAAGCAAAATCGACCGGACAGCTCTTACAGAAACACTCTCTTAATACTGCAGACCACTCTTTGCTGGTTTCTTTGCAGAATACCGTCTGGCACTACAACATCATTGATTCACCAAGATTATCAAACGCTCTAATGAACGGCTAACGCTGGAAACGTCAGCTTCAGAAACTCATTACGATGGCCAATTTACATTGTCAACTCAGTTGGTAAAGCCAAATTATTTTGTAATACCTACCAAAGTTTCTTTAGAAACTTACCCCGTTGATTAATGTTGTTTTTAGAAACTATGCAAGCCGAAAGTTCTCATAAATGTTAAGATAAATGCTGCTTTGTTCCTTTATATTTGTCTTGACCTTGAAGTCATGTCGTGTTGTGCAAAATTCACAACTTAGTTAAAATGAAAGGTGACAAACTGAGTTTGTCAAACCATTGTTACCTCAAATCATGGCAATCATCCTCATCAGACACGAATAGATTCGTTTAAGTAAGCCCATTACTTGGTGATAAATTACCACAACAACATTTTCAAATGTTCCTAGAACGTTGTAGTGAAAGGTTTATCAATCCTTCTTGTTTTTGTAGGAAACCCGCAACCTTTCAAAAACCCCATAATTGATGGCGCGATCCCCCGACTCACGACCATTAGTCAAACTCAAGTGTGCGTCACTTTTTTTGTTTTGTTTTGTTTTTTTATACTTGATAAGATGAACAAACGAAACAGCTAGATCAAAAATCGCTTCGATAACAGTTGACTTTTACGGCGTGACAGTCAGACAGTCCGTTTTTAAACTGTGCAGGTCGAATTAATTTTACAAGTTTCACCAAATGTGATCCGTTGATGTGCTCCAGTTGTACTTATCCACACCTCTTCTTCAAAAAGTTTCGGCACACGTAATCGACCCAGTCCGTTTTTGTCACATTATAAATCCAGATTATCCAATCATTTGGTTAGCTTGTGTTACTGAAAATAATGTCTCCCTCATAACAGGAGAGGATGGCAATGGAAACCTAACAGCAGAAGACATGATATCTTTCATGTGCATCGCCTTCCTAGTTGCCCTGCGTAACTCAGATCACATTCAGAAAGCCATTGAGATATGGAACGAATGTTTGATTCTGCTGAATAACAACGATAAAAACAGCAAAGACCAATTGAATTCCCTCCGCCAACTATTTTACGAAGTCATCTATACAGGTCTTTTCAGCGTTCATCGTCGTATCTCTGATCACAAAAGTGCGGAAAGATACGGCAGGAAACTGCTCGTCTTATACAGCGAGTCTGGTGACTTAGCAATAGAAGGAGATGTAAGCATGGCTCTAGCAAAGATTGCTGAGAGTCAAAAAAGGTTTACAGATGCCAAAGAACTTTATGAAAAAGCAATTGATAGAAAGAGACAAACCGGTGAAAACTTGGAGAACAAAGTGCCTGCGCAAGATTCGGAGCTATGTTTTATAAACTTGGCGAAAACCTAAAAGCGAAGGAGTATATTGAGAGGGCCCTTACCATAAGCACCGAAAATGGCGACAGAAGAGGAGAAGCATCCTGCTACCAAAGCTTAGCAGCGTTGCATCAGTCGCTCGGGGAATGCAACAAGGCTAAAGAATATCTCCATAAAGCGCTTCTCATCACAACTGAAATTAGCGACAGAAAAGAAGAAGCATCATGTTATGGCAAACTAGGTTACGTGTGCAAGTCTCTTGGACAATACAACAAGGCTGAAGAGTATCTCCAAAAAGCGCTTGTCATCAGAACTGAAACTGGCGACAGAAGAGGAGAAATATCATGTTATATAAACTTAGGTTGTGTGTTTATGTCTGTCGGGCAATACGACAAAGCTAAAGAGTATGTCCAAAAAGCGCTCGTCATCAACACTGAAATTGGCGACAGAGGAGAAGAAGCATCGTGTTATGGAAACCTAGGCTATGTGCTTAGGTCTCTCGGGCAATACGACAAGGCTAAAGAGTATCTCCAAAAAGCGCTTCTCATCAGAATTGAGATTAATGACAGAAGAGGTGAGGCAGCTGACAACAGAAACCTTGGTACTGTGTTTCTATCGCTCGGGCAGTACGAGAAGGCTATAGAGTATCTCCAAACAGCGCTTGTCATTAGCACTGAAATTGGCGATAGAGAAGGAGAGGCAGCTGAGTACGGAAGCCTAGGTAATGTGTTTGAGTCGCTCAGGCAATACGACAAGGCTAAAGAGTATCTCCAAAAAGCGCTTGTCATCAGCACTGAAATTGGCGACAGAGGAGGAGAAGCATCGTGTTATACAGACCTAGGTGATGTCTTTGAGTGTCTCGGGCAGTACGACAAGGCTGTGGAGTATCTCCAGAAAGGGCTTGTCATTACAACTAAAATTGGCGACAAAAAAGGAGAGGCATCTACCTACGGAAACCTAGGTACTGTGTTTAAGTCGATCGGGCAGTACGGCAAGGCTGAAGAATATCTCCGAAAAGCGCTTGTCATCAGCACTGAAATTGGCAACAGAAGAGGAGAGGCAGCTGACTACGGAAACCTAGGTACTGTGTTTTGGTCGCTTGGGCAATACGACAAGGCTAAAGAGTATCTCCAAAAGGGCTTGTCATCAGCACTGAAATTGGCGACAGAAGAGGAGAAGCATCGTGTTATACAAACCTAGGTGAAGTCTTTGAGCGTCTCGGGCAATACGACAAGGCTGAAGAGAATCTCAAAAAGCGCTGGTCATCTCAACTGAAATTGGCTACAGAAATGGAGAGGCATCTACCTACGGAAACCTAGGTACTGTGTTTCTTTCCCGCGGGCAATACGGCAAGGCTAAAGAGTATTTCCAAAAATCGCTTGTCATCAGCACTGAAATTGGCGACAGAAGAGGAGAGGCAGTTAACTACGGATGCCAAGGTATCTTGTTTGAGTCTCTCGGGCAGTACGACAAAGCTGAAGAGTATTTCCAATTAGCGCTTGGCATTAGAAATGAGATCGGCGACAGAGAAGGAGAAGCAGCTGACTACGGAAACCTAGGTACTGTGTTTCAGTCGCTCAGGCAATACGACAAGGCTAAAGAGTATCTCCAAAAAGCGCTTGTCATCACAACTGAAATTGGTGACAGGAAGGGAGAGGCATCATGTTATGGAAACCTAGGTACTTTGTTTCAGTCGTCCGAGCAATACGGCAAGGCCAAAGAGTATCTTGAAAAAGCGCTCGTTATCAGAACTGAAATTGGTGATAAGGAAGGGGAAGCAGCAGATCTTGGAAACCTTGGAATTATGTATAGAAAGTTTGGAGATTATGAAGCTTCGGAAGTATGCTTAGAGAAAGCTTTATCCACATCCAGAGATATTGGAGATGGAAGAAAAGAGTTCGTAATCTTGCATGATTACGCTATTTTTATTTATGTCAAAATAAAATCAAAGACTCCCTGTCGTGTCTTCATCTGTGCATTGAAAAGTATGAGGAGCTGAGATATTTCTTGGGCGCCAATGATCATTTCAAAACATCGCTTCTGGAGGACTCAGGAATATTTCCCTACAAGCTTCTTTGTACTCTGCTTTGTAACACCGGAAAAACTCGTGATGGTCTTTATGTTGAGGAGATGGGTCGAGCTAGAGGCCTATCAGACTTGATGGCAGAGAAGTACTCGGTTGAAACGCACGTCCCTGCTAATCTGCAATCTTGGTTTTGCATTGAAAACAATTTAAGAAAGAAAAATAACTCTACTTGTCTGTACATTTCTTATTTTCACAATCATCTACATTTGTGGATCTTGAAAACAAGTGGAGTCCTTCACTATAGAAGAGTATCACCAGAAGATAATCTAGTTCACGCTGGGTTGCCCAAAGATTTGCCTCTGAGTGAGTTTTTGGCTGATAGTTTCCGGAGTCTTGGTATTTTGCCCACTGAAGATTGTGAAGATCGGTCTTTAAATATGGTTGAATTGCAACCTCTCTCACCCGAACAAAAGAGCTCAGCAAGAATGCGACTCATGGAGGAGGACGAGGACAAGGACGAGGACAAGGAGGTCATTTCAAGTCTATCTTTGTGTTACAAAATGTTTATTGCCCCTGTTTATGATTTGCTTGAGGAGCCTGAAGTCATTATTGTTCCTGACCGCAGTTTGTACAAAGTTCCCTTTGCAGCCCTGAGTGAAAAGGAGGGAGCCGAATACCTGTCAGAGACTCATAAGATCCGTGTCATTCCTTCTTTAACGACACTCAAGATCATTCAAGATAGTCCAGAGGATTATCACAGCAACACTGGTGCCTTGATAATAGGCAATCCCAAGGTTGATTGGCTGCCGCCACTGCCATGTGCAAGAAAGGAAGCGGAGATGGTCGGACGACTGGTGGGTGTTCCGCCTTTGCTAGAAGAGGAAGCAACGAAGGAGGCGGTACTTGAGCGGATAAGTTCAGTGAGCCTGATACATTTTGCTGCCCATGGTGAGGCCGAAAGGGGAGAAATTGCCCTCTCCCCCATTCCTATTCCCAACAGTCAAAATGCTATCCCACCACAGGATGCTTACATGTTGACGATGGCTGATGTCTCACGAGTGAAAGTCAGAGCTAAACTGGTGGTACTTAGTTGCTGTCACAGTGGAAGAGGACAGATAAGAGCCGAAGGAGTTATAGGAATTGCCCGTGCGTTCTTAGGATCTGGTGCTCGCTCGGTGTTAGTTGCGCTGTGGGCCATTTCAGACTTAGCAACGGAGCAGCTGATGAATCGGTTCTACAAACACCTTGTTGAAGGAGAAAGTGCCAGTGAATCCCTTCATCAGGCCATGAAGTGGATGAGAAAAACCGCTTTACCAAAGTGTCTGAGTGGGCTTCGTTTACACTGATTGGAGATGATGTGAAGCTCGAGTTTCACAATCAGAGGTGAGACTCGTTGAGAACAGGTATTTTATAAATTAAAGTTAAATTAGATGTGAAGGTGGCTATAACTCACTGGTCGCTGACTGTCGGCGGGGATCCTTTGTTACCTTGTTGTTTCTTTCAAAGAGTAACAATTGATTCTCACGGTTAGAAGTACAATATAGAATCTCGAAAGCGCCTCTCTGCCAATCAGATACAAGTGTACATTTGCCTACATATTGCGCCTGGTATAACTGTATTTGCTTTATTTAAGAATTGTTGATTATGTTATCTATAATTGCTTTTCATTTTTTACATTTGTTATAGGAAAGAGGATGAGAATATCTCGAAGGAAACAGACCGTAGAGACTTTTGGATGGATAAACAAATAGAATAAGTAGAGAACATACTCTATCGGTTATTTCATTGTTTAATTAAAAAATGGGTTATCTTCAATTACGCATATTAATTATAACTTTTTACGGTTTTTTTTTTTTTCCGATCTTCTCAAAATGAGGTATTAGTTACGTATTCGAGAAAGATTTTATTCTGCGCAAAAATTATCTTATCCAGCCGATATAATTAGCAAGAAACAATATTGACTTGGGGCTCTTAAGTGAAGTGAAATCAGGAAAGTTTTAACAGTAGTTTAAGCATCAAAATGAGCCAGTTAAGTCTTACAGGGTTTTCTCTGAAAGCCTTTAAGTTTGTCAAAGGTTTCGTTAACAGAATCCTAAATTTTTTGATGTAACATCTTAACAGAAACCTTTCGTTTTGATCATTTCCAGTACTACCTCTCAGTGCAGAAAAGACTGAAAAATACACGGAAGTGGAAAGTGGAAAAGTTACGGCAGTAATATTTTCCAACTGGTTCGAAAACTCTCTTACGCGCTATAATGTTTGAGATGTTATAATGTTTGTATGGTGATTTGATCGTTTCCAAATCAGGTTATTGTCAAAATGTTGGTTTGGGAATCAAAATATTCTTGTTTTTACCACACTTTTATACACTCCTTTTTTGGTAAACTTTCTTGGGGATTATGTAGTAATTCAAAAGATGCTAAAATAAAAGACAGCTTGAGAGAAATCTTAGAAAATATCGTGAGCGTTTGTTTTAACCAGGTTACAGAGTAAAACAGATAGCACTGTTGTTCATAGTTAAGGCGTCAATGTGGCGGGAAAAGGGTGTAACTGGTAGGAGTGTCAGCATGCGGTCCACTGACGCTTTCTTGCGCAGAAAACATCAACAAACGCCATGATCATAAGAAGGTTGTTTTGTTTCTCAATGCTTTTCAGTGCATTTCTTTGATCGGTTTTCCTCAACCTATGTTACTTGATACTCGCCTTATAGTCAAAAAAATTACGGCGATGAAGTTCTGGTGATTAGTATTCTAGTGTCAAATATTAATTCCATGCCAGTATCGAATAGTGATCCTAGTATCAACAGTTATGGCATAAAACGATCATGCCGAATTATGGGAGCCAAACGAGTTTTGCATCCCTTTATTTGACGTAAATTAAGTTAATTTTAGCATAAAAACTTGAGGCATAAATAAGTGATTACATGCACGAAAAAAAAAATTTGGTTGATGTGTCCTTCTCACTTCTTCCCTTAAGTATTTCTAAGGGCGTTAACATCACGCTAATTATTCCGAAAGTTATCACCTGGACTATGAGTATCAGTGCATGAGGAATTCTCATTCCTACCCCAACCTACTCAGTAGTAATTAGTTTGCTGAATAAATTTTTGATTCTTTTTGCTCTCGACCAATTAGCCTGCAGCAGTTCTCACAGTTATTTTTAAGAGCTTTTAATAAAATTCCTGCGCAAAATTTAGAAGTCGTTCCCAAATTTTGTAGGTGACTGGCTTTTATTTCTGTTGAGGTAGCGTTGCACTTTTTCTAGACCATGAAACGTTAATGTCAACTGCAATTTCTTGGGCATTTTACTTTACTTCCAACGCACAGAGGCGTTTGCTTCCAGCCAAAAGTAAAAAAGGAACTTAGCAACAGTGCTTAGCAACAGTTGGGTGAATATTTTCCCTATAAGGTGGTTCCATATATGAGCTGATTACCTGAGGTGAGTGAAAAAATCAGAAATGAAAAAAAAACTCGAAATGAATTACCCGGAGTCCAAAATTTAAGAGTGTGTCCACGAAAGCACCAGGCAGTCGTGTTACATGCCATCTTACCGATTTCAATGAAACTTTACCAGTTTAAAGGGTCAACCCCAAAACTCAAACAGACAAAATGGTTTCTGTTTTAGCTCTTTCTAGGGGAGGATAGACCATCCCCCGCCTCCAGTGTTTCTTGGTTTTCACTGAGGAAATCGCTTCAAAATGGGTAAGATGTATGAAGCTTTCACTGCGATGGTTTTTAACCGATTACTCTGAGAGACTGCATACATAATAATTACCACTACTAATTGTTTCAAAGAACCCCTGTTATTTATAATTTATTGCAATTAGAACATATAACTGGGTCCCGATAAATTTTACGTTTCGTGACTCCCAAAAAGTGTGTTTACGAAAACATAAATTGAGAAAACAGAGGGACACGTTACATGGACGAGTATGTAATGTGTTGAGAGGTCAACCGTCCTCGTACATGTAACTTCCGAAAAATGTCAGCATGTACAACCCCCTTAGGCGCACCTGGCGAATTCTTTCCGCTTACTTCAATCGAAAAGAGACAAGTCATTTACTTAAGCAAGCTTATTTACCCTTCTTGTAAAACTCCTGGATGAAGTCTGCTATTGTCAGACGAAACGCATGAGAGATAAATACAAGTTTTTACTTTCTCAGTTCGTGCAGTGATGCTCACTAAATTTTGTCTTCACCACACAACAAATAACACAGTAGTATACATCAAATAAGTTTATTTAGGGAAGCCTGCCGAGAACCAACCCGAGGCATATATAGCCCGAGGCATGCATACATACATATATTCGCAACTGATATACCATATACAATCCTGATATACAGTCAATTCCTTACACATTATACATTGCTAAAATGCAAACTTCACTAAGTCTGGATTAACAGAGATGGGCAACCACTTACAAGGACATAACTACGGTTATACAGAGGCCAGAAAAAAACCTGCCAGAAAAACCCATTTGGGGAAAGAACATGACAGGAAATCTGGGTAGGAACCATGATCCAAACTCAGAGCAGTTGGCAGCCCATCCTACGAGGCTTCACAGTTAAAGAAAATACGTTTTCAAACTAAAATAAATTTGTCATCAGCCAGGGGTGAACGGTTGGTTCTGAGGCCTAGATAGACACCACGTGCTATACTTCCCCTTCTATACCACTGCATCATTACCCATGATGCTCGGGCCTAAGGCCCAGGTCTTGTCGTATCTCGTGCCGACAAAGTATTTATTTCTGCCTTATTCGTAGAGTCATTCGTCAGAAATACCATTTTGTTCTGTCAAAAATATTGCCTTTAATGTAAAGTCACGTCGACCTCGCAGAAAAATTCGGCTCACCCTGTCATAATCATCAAAGGTTTGATACCGAACGTATTAATTACGATATATCACTGCTTTTCAATCACAGCAGTGAAAATGTACATTTCCTCACGCTCCCTACATTTATTGTTACAGTTGGAAAAATAATTCACTTGAGGGCGAGGCCTCTGACCTTGGCAATTCTTAACTCTGGCCGACGATAATTGCCGACGAGAGGCGAGGTAACCTCCCTATTGAGCCCCATGAGATTCTTGTCAAATGTTTTAAAAAAATTTGTCTTCCCTTGGTTTGCACGCAAAATTCTGAACGGTATTTTAAATTAGTTTATGCATATTATTATATACAAAGTGTTTATGTTTTATGTTTATTTTTTTAGTTTATGCATATCATTATGGCTTATTTGAAGATTACGAAGGCCACGATTTCACGATATGCCTCAAATATCGTGCACAGGTTGGTATGAGATTCAGACTATCGGGTTCGTAAGTGCTAGTATCCGACTCATAAAAATTGGAGACGTAAAGTTGAGGGAGAGGTAAATCTTACGATGGCAGAAGAAATCAAAGCTGGTGGCGAGTCTTCCAGGTGGCAAGGTGACTGTCAACCAAATAGAACGCATACCGTGACTGTTATCTTAGAGTTAATGAATAAGGAAGAAAGGCAAGAAGGGCGCTTATCTGAACATCAATTTTCCTAACTGGTGAATGGTGACCGCGATGAACTTTATATCATACGATTGCTAGGGATACGCAGATACTGTAGAGGCGCTCACGTAGACAGTTTGCATTTGGAGGCGGCGATCCTCCCTCTGACTTTGGAACTGCGATAAGTTTATAGCGCAGACTAGCTGGCACAGTTTGGAGCACTTCAGGGATTCACAAGGCTCATCACACTTAAAATCTTTAGCAAACTAATCGTAGAAGCGGGTGGTTATCAGTAACGTGTACAGATCTCTGAACCCGGGCCATCGCGAAAACTGTACCCAATCCGTCTCAGATAGAACAAGAAAACGGTGTATTAAAACGTTACAGTCATATTTACTGCCTTCAAAAAGCACCTTAACATAGGCAAACACAAATTGAAGCTGATAAGAGAATCCGCCTTTGATGAGATCAAGAGGAAATTGACGGAGGCCTACTAATCTGTAGGGTGTGGCTACGTTCAAGGACGGAACTCAGGCAAAAATTCTAAGGAACAATCCCTTACTAGCCAGGTGGACTTTGGATAGGCCCTTTGGAAAATACAAAAAGCAGATGCCTTTTCTCAGAAGGCAAATAAGTATCTCCTAAACGTGTGCTGGACATGGGAGGAAACTAGTATGAAGTCGACCGCCTCTGATATGGGTTCCCAAATAAAGACCGGCCAGAAATGCGGTATAGGACAGAATGCTTGATAGAGAAGCAGATTGCTTGATACTTCAGCTGACTATCGGCCCTGACAAAAGCTGGTTTACTGCAGAGGTCCTCCTCTGTAAGTATGAATATGGAGGAAGAGGTTGATGCCGATGACCTAG